CAGGGAGGGCTCGTTTGTAGGCGGTGGCGGCGGGGCGAGATTAGCTAGAGCGACGGCAGATGGACGTTGTGGGCTCAAATTCCGCAGGCCAGGGCAAACGTGGCGCCGCGTGACGTCACGAGCCATGCCTCTCTCACTCCCTGACTTGCCTCCCCTCCTCTCCCGCTTCCCTGTCCACGTCCCGTGTCGTCTCACCGCAGTACGATCTGGGAGGCGCGCCGTTCGGGTCGCGCAAGGCGTCGTTCAGCCTGTACGCGTCGTCGGGGCTGTCCACGTCAGCAGCAGCGTCGGAAGCGGATCTGATGCGCGCCGTGATCGTGATGCCGATCCAACGGATCAACTTCACCCTCCTCGATGGTGAGGTCGCGGCATCGCGCTTTCCCACATGCGACATTCGAGCATGTGGACGCTGCTTCCCAAACTGCGGCATGAGCCTGCTTGCACATATCAATATTGCCTTGACCGTTTCCCCCCTCCACCGTCCCCTTCATGTCGACGCCACTCTCTCCCCTCCACCGTCCCCTTCATGTCGACGCCACTCTCTCCCCTCCACCGTCCCCTTCATTCCCCCCTCCTCTCATCCCCTCCCCTTCGCTCACTCTCTCTCCCCTGCCACGTCATCAGAGGTGGTGGCGGGATCCCGCAAGGTGGGAGGGCTGCTCTTCATCCTGCCACGTCACTTCAGCTCCTCGCGGCCAGATGGCGGTCAGGGAGAGGACGACGACGCGGACGATGATGCTTGCAAGGAGAGGGCAGGAGAGGGCTCGGGGGAGATGAAGGAGCACGTGGAGGTGGTGGCGCAGCTAGAGGAGCGGCTGCTGGAGGCCAACATACCGGTGAGTGCTTGCGTGAGTGAGTGAGTGAGTGAGTGAGTGAGAGGGTGCCGCCTGCAGCATGATATGCTGGCGCATGTAGTCGGCTTTGTGCCGACTGTATTGCCTTCAGCGCAATTGAGCTCTATTTTACCCCCCACCCACCTCCTTTTTTTTCCCTGTCTCCCTCCTCCCACCCGCAGGTGCCTGTGTATTTCGCTGTTGACAATGCTGAGCTGTCAAAGCTGGCGGCTGACGTGGAGAGCAACGACAGGGCGGGCAAGCCTGCATCGGCCACCAATGGCGGGTGAGCACTGAGTCTGGCTGCACAGGAAAGAAAAGCCACCCTGACCGTCTATCAGTTTCCCATATCGGCGTAAACTCAATGCACTTATGGCCATGCCTGCACCGCACTTGTCAAACGTCTCTCCTTTCACTTCTTGCCGTTCTCTTCCCTCCCCGTCGCACCTGCTCCATCGCCCCTCCCCCCTCCCCTCCTCCCCTTCCCTCCCTTCCCTCGTTTCCTCCACTCCCCTTCCCCCCTCCTCTCATCCAATCAGCTTCAAGCTGGTGGTGACAGCAGGCGAGCCCCGCAAGCTGCCGGCCTCCTCGCCCCTGCCGGCCATGGAGGCATGGCTGTACGGCGACGGGCAGGGGCAGGGGCAGGGGCAGGCGGGAGGAGGGAGGCGCTGCCCATAGTGGCGGTGGTGGCGCCCGCTTGACACCTTCGGCCTCGTGCCTGTGAGCCCCCTGCCCCCTCTCACCATTGCGCTCCCCACGCCTCGTGTTCCTCTACCCTCCCGCTGCTCGCTTCTCGCTCCTCCTGCTCACTGCTCCTCCCGTCCCTCGTGAAGAGTCCGCTGCCCCTCTTCGTGCTCTATCAGCCTTCCATCCCTTCCATGCCCTCCGCCACCTCCCCCTCACTTCCTCACATTAACTTCCTCCCCTGGCAGCGCTGCTGTTCGCCCCTCATACTTCCCATGCACCCTCGTTCCCCACCCGCCATTCCCCTTCCCACCCCCACCCCTCGACACCTTACCCCCACCCAGTCGCTCGCGTCGTGCCCGGCCAGCAGTGCGAGCGGGGTAGCGGCGGTGCTGCAGGTGCTGCGCCTCTTGTCACGCCTCTTCGCGCTGCTGCCCTCCGCGCGCGCCGCCCTTCCACCTGCTCTTCCTGCTCTCCTCCGGGGGACCCTTCAACTTCGACGGCACTCGCCAGGTGGGTGTGGGCGCACGCAGGCAGGGGGGGGGTTGTGCCTTGAGCATTGTGGGACGGAACTTGGCAGGCGGGAGCGAGAATGGGACTGAGGGATGGTGGAAGGAAGGAAGGGGTGGAGAAAGGTCAAGAGTATGAGTCCGTCGTCCCCCCTCATTGCCCTCCTCGTCACCCTTTCTCAGGCTTTTTCCTGGTATAAACTACCTGCTGAACCTCCTCGCACCCCCCGTCATGCCATCCGCCCATCGCCCCTCACCCCCCCCCTCACAGTGGCTAGCCTCGTTGGACCAGAGTGTGCAGGACCGCCTCGAGTTCGCCATCTGTCTGCGCGCCATTGGTGCAGCGCCAGGGGCCGGGGAGGGGACCAGGTGGGTTGCACCTGCATGCATCGCGGCCTCTCAAGGACCCCACCATCAGTGCGCTCTTCCATGTGAGTCACCATTGCGCACCACCGCTCATTCCCCACCCCCTCCCACCATGGGGTTGCAGCAGCACCTCCCGCTCGTCCCACACCTTGCACACAGAAATCGCAACGTCTCCCACTTGTGTGTGCACTGCTGCCCCTTCCCCGTCTCCCACCCACCCTCCCCCTTCAGGGCCTGTCCTCCGCTGCAGCAGCCGCGGACCCATTACGCCACTCGTCCTGCCCTCATTACGTGCTGCCTCCCTTTCCCGTACCATCCACTCCCCCCGCGCTCCCCCTCGCTCCCCTTCCTCCCTCCGCAGGGCCTGTCTTCAGCTGGAGCAGCCGCTGAACCCCCAGCGTCCATCGGCCAGGCGCACAAAAAGGTGAACATCTCCGACGCGTCTGTGCCATCCCCCCCTCTCTTTCCGAATCCCACCCTTCTTTTCCTCCGCCCCTCCCCCCCCGCCTGCAGGGCCTCTCCTCTGCTGCAGCGGCTGTGGAGCCACGGACCTCCGTCGCCCTGGTGCACAAGAAGGTGAACATCTCGGACGCGCGCGTGCCGTGGCAGCACGAGCTCTTCTCGCGCCGCAAGCTCATTGCCGCCTCGCTCTCCGCCCTGCCCTCCGCGCCGCCCTTCCTGCGCCACTGGGGGGGGCTGGCTGACACCAGGTATGCAGGGGAAGGAGTGGATGGAGGAGGATGAGGTGGTGAGAAGGGAGGAGGCATGAAGAGGTGGGAAGGGACGACCAGGTTGAAACGGGATGCGAGCACTTGGCAACCCAATTCAGCCTTCCTGCCTGTCATGCGTGCTTTACCCTTGCATCTTTTCATTTGTGGCACCTTCTCCATGCCTCACTGGTCCTTCCAACTTGTCTGTCGTCTCCGCCTTCCCTTCATCACCGTCTCTCCGCCACATGTGTATCTGAACGCTCTCTGCACCGCTGTCGCAGGGAGTCAGTGGACGAGCACCAGTTGCTGGCTGCCACGCGCCTCATTGCTGAAACCATTGCGGTGACTTTTGAGTCGACTCAAAAGTCAATCCGCACATGTGTATTTGAACGCCTGTGCACCGCTGTTGCAGGGAATCAGTGGACGAGCACCAGTTGCTGGCTGCTACGCGCCTCATTGCTGAAACCATTGCGGTGAGAGGCCACCAACTCTCTCATGCCCTCTCCCATTCGTTCTTGTACCTACACCCAGCTTCTACCTGTTCCTCTCAACCTGAACCGTTTAGCACCTTGGTTCTGTTTGTCCCCATCCACCCTCTTCCCTTTTCTCATGTCTGTATATCTACATTTCCATTTCTCCTCTCCAGAGCCACATATTCAACAGCAGCAGCGCCGGCACTTCCAGTGGCAGTCCGTCTGAGGGAGCAGCGGCGGCAGCCCGCCCCCCATCGCCTTCTTCCCCCCCAACTCCTCACTCGCTCCCAGCCTCCCCTACCTCTCTCACTGGCTCTCCCTCCTCTCCCCGCGCGCCACGTGTCGCCCCGCTATTGGCCAAGGACGACCCAATAATTGCCGCCATCCAAGCGGTAAGATGGTCTCTCTTGTGTGAGCGAATGTCCTCCACACAAGTCAAACCATTCTCCTCGTTGCAGTTTACTCAGCACTTAATGGCTTGTGGCTGCAACATCTCTCCCTCTTTCCATTTTGAACCTTCTTTCGCATCCTTCCTAGGGCCGCCTCTCTCTTTTTCCCACCGGTCCCATGCTCCCATGTGTGAATATATGCCCATGTGGCAGGAGCTGGCATTGCATGCGGACAAGGTGGAGGTGAGGAAGCAGCGCTGGACCCGCATTACCCACTCTACTCCACGCCGCATGCTCGGATGCACGTCTACCAGGTGGGATTGGGCGGGCCGTCGGTACCATGCTGTGTCTCATGTCTGCACCTTCGTGCATCCACCATGCACCATGCGTTGTGCTCGTATCCTAGTCACCGACCTTTAAGAAAATATCTTTCAGGCCTTCATGTCATTGCCTCCCTGGTCCACTGACTTGTTGCTCTGTTCCTCTCTGTGTTCGCCCACTCCTGTGCATCCACGTGTGTGTGCAGGTGGCCAGCATCACCTTCGATTTAGTCACGTTCCTTGCAGTGGCCATCTACCTCTCCTCGCTCTTCGTCATCCTCCATACAGCCACCAAGGTATGCTCGTGTGACATCACAGCCGTGCATTCTTGCCTCCAGCATCAGTCTCACATGCGCAGTGCGCCGCACACTCCGCGCACAGCACAAGTCAACCGTTGTTTTAACCTCAACTCGTGAAATGGAGCTGTCCCCTGCCTGCATCCTCCCTTCACTGCCATTCTCCACAGGGCTTTGACGACCTGGTGGCACTCTTCAAGGGCAAGCCCGCCTACCGCAAGGCAAAGCCTTCGTGATTCCTTCATCCCGTTCTGCCCGGTGCTGTCCTGCCTCTGTAAGAGGCACTCTTCGGCCCTAGGTCTTTTGCTTTGTAGAGTACGGTAGCCATTGGCTTCACCTGTCTGAGGGAAGATTTTGAGCAATGATTCCCTCAGGCACGAGCCTTGGTACACATGCAGCTGGTCAGAGCAGCAGAAATATTGAACCACAATAAATCAGCTGCCCCCGTTTGCATTTGTGCACGGGCCACGGCCCAGCCGCCATAGTCCTGGATCAATGCACGACCTGGATATCGGTATGGACCACAAATGTAAGGTACATGCCAATACTGGCATGCCTTCCTGATACGTTATGCGTTGGTGATGTAGCTAGCAACACAAAGGCAAAAACAGCTGCCACACACATGGAGACCAGGAGCTCGGAGAATGTTACGGTACGATCACTTGCAATCTAGGTCGTAAAAGGGCGGCAGAGGTGCACGTGCACGTTCCCATAGATAGGTAACCTCATCAGGCTGTCCAAAATGAAGGAAATCAACTCAGCATGAGGGGTTGAAGGAACACACGCCGAAAAATATCAGAGCCAGGTTTCGATCCTGGGACCTGTGGGTTATGGGCCCACCACGCTTCCGCTGCGCCACTCTGATATGTCGATGGACTTCAATAAAACAATTTGTAAAATTAATCACTGGCTTCACGCGACCCTTTCTGGCCTTCCACATTCACTGCTTCCATGTCTGCGTGCATTCCTCCGTCTCCCATCGTTCAAGGAGTCGGCGGTGCCATATGCCCTCGATTAGCAGTCTCCCCGCGTTTCCCACCGTGTAACGCGCGTAACCGTCGTTCGACTTTCCGTCCACGCCAATGCTCGTTCCTAGCAGGTCAACATTCCGTTCCCTTCTGGTTCTCGTCGGTTTTCTGTCTGAAACTGGGTGATCAGATTCATTGTCACGTGCCGGAGAGCCCAACGTTGCATGGTCTCGCGAACGCTCTATCATTCGCTGGCACCCTTTTCTTGCACGCGAATGCCGCTCCCTCCGTCATCGCGCACTGTCCTTCGCAACCTACCGCTCCTCAGACCACTCAACGCCGATAAAAGGCGCTCCGTCCTTATTCTGGTAGTATTCTTACTCATCGCCTATCTCGCATTCTCGCGCCTCTCGTCCTCCACTTCCCCCGACATTGCCACGTCAGCCATGGATGCTGATCCGTTGCGGGATAAGCCAGGAAACGCATCAGCTCGTGCCACGTCAGCGAAGGTGAATCAGTTTTCCATCTGGGCCATGCCTGAAGAAGGCTCGGCATTCCACACCTCAGCTTCGGCAGCCATCTCGAACCTCTCAAGCAGGTTTGTCATCTTGAAAGAAAAATCTCTTTGTTCAACTTTGTGGGATTTGTCTGATTCCGAAGGATACAATTGAGGCTCTTCTTACCGCACCTGTCCCGCAGGTTCAAGTGCACGCCATTTGAGCCGCATGTGACGGTGATAGGAGCGTTTGGGGCGAGGGAGGGGTTGGACGAGAAGGAGGTGGTGAAGCGCATGGAGCGATTGAGTGCGTCCTTAAAGCCGTACGACATCCAAGTCATGGAGCTGGCTGCTGGTCGGCTCTTCTTCCAATGCGTGTACATCAAGATGCTGCCTTCAAAAGAGGTGCGCTCTCGTGCTGCTCAGCCATGCGGTTCTCTTGTTCTCTCAAAAAGTTTGTGCCCTTCTGCTGGTGAGTGACATGCATACATCAAATTCTTGGTGTGACTTCTGGCTCACACGATTGCTGCTGAGTTTGCTGGTTCATGATGGAACATCGTTGCATCTTGCCTGTTGTGCCCTCCCTCCCTCTCTCTGACCAACGATCCATGGCTGGGTGCTATCAGGTGCTCCATGTGCACAACGAGGCAGTGGAAGTGATGGGCATGGACAGGAATTCCGTTGCTGGTACGAACATGGATTGGCATATTGTTGTGCCACGACACCATGTTGAGAATGTGTCTCTCACTTGCCTGCTTGTCCTGCTTGTTGCAACAATATCCCTTCCAGTTACCGCCTGATTAGTACAGAAGTTCCCTCACATTCTTCTCCCCACCCACTCCCCCCGCAATCACCCCCAACTCAACCCCCCACCTCTACGTGGCCTCGCGTTCTGTGTGTGCAGCATACATGCCTCATCTCAGCCTCATTTATGGTGATCTCTCAGACGCCCAGAAGCAGGACGCCAAAGCAGCGGTTGAAGAGACATTTTCATCCCTGCTCCCTCCCAAGTCCGCATCGCTACCATCTCCTTCCTTCCATGTTTCATCGCTCGCACTCTACCGCACTGAACCCACTGACCTCACTATGAGTACTTGGGAAAGAATAGCGGTGTTCCCACTCAGTGGTATGAACTAGAGGTTTGGTAATGATAGAGCTGTGTTATGTATGAAAATGCAACACTGCGCGGTTCGTTTTCTGCCACCTTGTGTCCGATGCAACACTGGGTGCTCGATGTATGGTGAGGCCTTTTAGTTTCTCACACTGGATTTAGTTTGAAAGCGGTGTATGCAGCCCTTGCGTGAGATACCGACACAAACATATCGAAGTGTCCTTTACAGAAGCACTGAATCTTCTCATGCCTGTTCCGCAGAATCTGACAGGTGCAGTGCCGTGGCGTGCTCTCGTCGTCCACAGTCACAACCACCTCCAGGAAGGTTCCCGAAGTCTCGTTACGATGACATTCTAGAACGTGAATGGCGTAGCGAAGTCCTCACGATGCGTTACTTGCTGTTGAACAGATGGTACATACCTTTCGCTGCGCAATAGACAGGTTTTGCGAAGAAACAGTACTCACATTCACGACGTTCGCGAAGGCACTGACAGCTTTTGCTGGATCGGATGTTAGGCTGTTTTGAAACAAATCTTTCATCTCTTCTAGCTGCTTCTTCAGGATCTGTGATTACTAAAATCCGACCACGTTATTCCTAGACTAGCAGTTAATTTTGTGCGTCCTGGTTTGATCCCTTGTTTTCCGAGTTCTGCCGTGACCTAGCCTTCAATTTCGGCAGAGCACCATGAGCGTGGTCGGCTTCGATGTGGGGAACGAGAGGGGCGTGGTAGGCATTGCGCGACAACGCGGAATCGACATCGCGCTTAACGAGGAGTCCAACCGCGAGACCCCCAATGTCGTCTGCTTCGGCGAATCGCAGCGATATCTGGGCGTCGCAGGAGCGGCGTCGTACACGATGAACCCTAAGAACACGGTGTCGCAGATCAAGCGCATGATCGGGCGGAAATTCGCAGATCCCGAGTTCCAGAAGGACCTCCCGATGTTCCCGTTCCGCTGCTCCGAAGGCCCCGACGGCGATATTCTCGTGCACGTCATGTACATGAACGAGCCCAGGACGTTCACGCCCACCCAACTTCTCGCGATGGTTCTGAATGGATTAAAAGCGATCGGCGAGAAGGACCTGGGGTCGAAGATCACGGATTGCGTGATCGGCATCCCCGTATACCTCACCGACGCGCAGCGCCGCGCGTATCTCGATGCTGCCACCATCGCGGGGCTGCACCCGCTTCGGCTAATGCACGAGCCGACGGCCACCGCGCTGGCGTACGGAATCTACAAGACGGATCTGTCGGAAACCGAGCCGCTCAATATCGCATTCGTGGACATTGGGCACTCGACGATGCAGGTGTCGATTGTGGCGTTCAAGAAGGGCCAGCTGAAGGTGCTGGCGCACGCGTTCGACCGGTCGCTGGGCGGGCGCGACTTCGACGAGGTGCTGTTCAACCACTTCGTGGACGAGTGCGCGCGCAACCACAAGCTCGACATCCGCTCCAACGCGCGCGCGTGCCTCCGCCTGCGCACCGCGTGCGAGAAGCTCAAGAAAGTCCTCAGCGCCAACCCCGAGTCGCCGCTGCACGTGAGTCGCATGGCACAGGGCTTTCTCTCGGTTGTTCTCTCTGTTGACTTCATATTCCCCCGTGAATCACCGACGTGTCCCTTGCTCCACCCCCTCGCACGTCTCTCAAAACATATCCTTGGACCCTCTCCCCCTTACCCAAACCCTCGCCCGTCCACTGTGCGTGTCCTCCTTCACACTTCCAATCGCCCGTCTCCTCTTCTCCCTTCCTCTCTCCCGTTCCTCCCGGTGGTGCAGGTGGAGTGTCTGATGGAGGAGAAGGACGTGACGGGGTTCCTGAAGCGCGACCAGTTCGAGCAGCTGGCGAAGCCCATGCTGGAGCGCGTCAAGGCGCCGTGCACGCGCGCGCTGCTCGAGTCGGGCATCACCGTCGATCAGATCGCAGCCGTCGAGCTGGTGGGGTCGGGGGTCGCGCGTGCCGGCCATCATGAAGATTCTCGCGGATTTCTTCGGCAAGGAGCCGCGCCGCACCATGAACGCCAGCGAGTGCGTGGCGCGCGGGTGCGCGCTGCAGTGCGCCATGCTCAGCCCCGCCTTCAAAGTCCGCGAGTTCGAGGTGAGCCGCCTCGCCGCGGGTGCTGCGTGAGTTGCTGGGTGCAGGGCACGTGGCGTATACACGGTGCGTGATGCACGGTGCGTGCGTGCTTCCCACGCTCGTCCGCCCAACGCTGCCTGTGCAAGGCGACGCTGCCTGCCGATGCCTTAATTCCGCGTTTCTTCCCTCCACCTCGCTCTCTCCTCCCGCCTGTCTCCCCCGCATCCCACCGCGCCCATCCCCGCGCGCCCCCGCGCCCTCTGCGCAGGTGCACGACACGTACCCGTTCGCCATCGCGCTATCATGGAAGCAAGCGAGCGCGGCGGGGGCGGCGTCCGCGGAGGGCGCGGAGGGCGGCGGAGAGGAGGCGGCGGCGCAGCCGAACCAGGTGGTGTTCTCAAAGAACAACCCGCTGCCGAGCTCGAAGCTGCTGACGTTCTACCGCACGGAGGCGTTCACCATCGACGCCTTCTATGCCAACCCCGAGGACCAGACCGTTGGCGCCAACACGCGCATCGGCACCTTCACCGTGAGTCCGACGCTTGGCGCGAAGGCATGTGTGGTGGGAGGAGCACCCCGCCCGTCACAT